CTGAGGGAACATTTCTTTTTCTTCGTAGGCATACTGATTTAGAGCTAAGATATGTGAAAATGGGTGCTAGGAGGTAACAACCCCCCCCCCCCCCCCCCCCCCCCACAAAGAAACATAAGCTCAGCTTAAACCTTTATCCAAGCTTCCGTCCGTACAAATGGAGATAACCGTTGGAGAGGTTGGAAATTCAACTTTTCTTGATGATGGAAAAAGTGATATTTGCTTGATCCCCACTCCAAGGCGAAGCTAACAACACCTCAAAAACAAGATTTGGTCGAGAGAATCAACGTGTAGAGGCATTGACCTCTTTTGATGAATAGTAACTACGAAGTGGAGAAGACCGTGTACTTGCTCAAAATCTTCAAAAACGAGCTTAAAATTTAGAGATAATACACCCAACAAGAGTATGGATGTAGTATAACTAAAATCTAAGTTCAATCCAAGAAGAAATTAAGAAGAAAGAAAGATGAATGCTCGGAAAAACGCAAAAGCGAACAAGAGTACCTCGAGGGAGGTAGAGAGAGAAGCTCTCAACTTGTTCTAATTTGATCTTACTGAGTTCTAGGATCAATTTATTATTCATTTTATCTTGGGTATCCCTTAAGGCCTACCCCTAGTATAACTTAAAGTTCATACTTTCCTACCTTAAAGCATCTCTTAAGACTACTTAAGGCATAACACTTCACAATCCAACCTTAGGATCAATTTTAGCAAGATTTCACTTTAATGTCCAACTAGTATATCAATACTAGTCCAATTAATTCCAACAAAATCAAGTTCTCCATTCATGGTCATTTATACAATGTCTAACTGATTTCCATTGAAAATAAAACCTTTATATCAATATCCAAAATATCACTTTTAATCATTCATATATTCTTATATGAAGTAAAAAGTATATTTCAACATGCATTTCATAGTTAATTCTATTATCAAGTCAACATACTCATAACACATGATCATACACAATTTATTCTTAAATTTGTATATCATGCTCCTTTCTTATGGACAATATTCTTCTCATTCATAGGCATTATTAATCATTAATAATCCATAAAATACATTTAATTACCTTGGGTTATCTCATGAAATTAACTCACTAATTATAAGCAACATAGTCAGTCATCCTCACCTTATGATGTGCTCAACTAGCTGCCTTTGCGAAACCCCTAGACCCATCCTCGTTCTAGGCCAATCGAGAGTGAAAAACTGGACTGCTGGGCAAAAGCTGGGTAGCTTCCTTTTTTGTTGCGGTTTCCGGCGGTTTCGACTTCTATCGATTCACCAACTCGTCTAAGTTAAATACCACCACTTTATATCAATATTCTACACTTTCAATCGTGTAGAACTTCATGTTTAAACCACCATATGATTTCTTAAAAATCATACAATAATAATATTAGTTAATGCATACTAGTTGGATTCTTACCTCAACTTAGCTCTTTTCTCGTGGGTTTCTTCTTCCTTGTGCTTCTTCAAGCTATGAGTTCTTGATAGAAGACTTCTCTAGAGCCTCTCCTCTTGGTTGGATGAAAATGAGTGCAAAGGGATAGGGGGGGGGGTATTGTATCTCAATCAAACACCAAGTTGAGGTGTTGATACGCCCATAGGGAGTGTGATTGTGTCTCCAATCACTCCCTCCTCCATAAGTCCGAATTAGCCACTTCATTTTGTCTCCATCCCATTATTTGGGGACCATAATTCATGTAGGAAAAATCCCCAAGTGGATGTAGGAAGTTCCTCCCTGTTATTCCCGCTATTTCTGGCAGGTTGGGTCAAAACAATACTTGTTTGCCCAAACGTTTTTCCTCAACCTGAGTTGATATTTTATTGGGCTTCTATAATTACTACAATGACTCGACTAAGTATTTGGTAGCCCATTCTCAATATAATGGACCCAGTAAATAATTTAATTAATCATTTATTAATTAAATATACCATTCTTTTACACGAAATCATTCGCTAGGAAAATTCAAATACATACTGAATTTTAAATTCAAGTACATCCGGGTGCGATGTCACACCTTCTCCCAGTAGGTCTGTATGTAGAAGATCAGCTGTTTCCTGGAGTTTGGAGCCTTCGGTCAAGGAGGCCGAAGGCACTCACACGTGTATTTATGGGCTCCTTGATACTTGGGCTGCCACGTATGAGCTTGTGTGCTCATTGGGCTCGATGGACCTGAGCAGGAGAAGTAGGAGTCTGTGGGCCGGGGGTCCCTGGGCCATATACTCAATCAGTGGATATGGAGGGTAGTTATTATTTTACTTTTCATTTTGTCTCTATTATGCTCCATCCCATTTTCTTTTGTTCCCAACCTGTTTTCGTGACTGTCATGTTATATTTCAACTTTTTTATAGTTGTCTTTTTGCTATTGATGGAGTATATGACCCAGGAACCCCCGGCCCATAGACTTCTACTATTCTGACGGAGGCCTAATAGGCCCAGGGAGCACAACAGGCCCAAAACACAGCGCCCAAAGTACTGAGCAACCCACGTAGCACACTGGGAGTGCCTTCGGCCCCCTGGCCGAAGGCTCCAAATTCTCACAGAATGGCCAACTCAAGCGAACAAAATTACTGGGAGAAAACAGCGAAAATCAGTAGCCCTCGGCACCTAGAGCCCTCGGCACTAAGGAGGTCCCCGGTATTCAGAGCCCTCGGCTAATCACCTGCAGCCGAGGGCACCTTTCTCGACATAATATCCTCTCCACATGCGCCTGAATCACCGTATCAAGTACGACGTCACATCCAACAGCCGCATTAAATGCGGCCACATGCGATTGCCAGCGCCAACCAGTTGATGTGACCCCTCATCCACTGGATGCTTGACACGTGTCCCTATCTGACATTTATTACTACTATAAATAGCGCCTCTTTTCCCATTTGTAACTCTAGCGAAATACGCTCACTACTTTCTCAGCAATACACTCTCTCTCTCTTACTTATACTCTGTCTTCTCTCTAGTTATTCCCCGCAATAACTCCTCGGATACATACCCCCGAGTAGACTATCCATCAGCTATGTTATACACATTGTTGTCTGCAATTTTGTTTACATTGATTGATTGATTCCTTGTGTTTCTTCTTTTATATGTACTAGTTGCTACTCATTTTCATATAACTCCTGAGATGATCAAATAATGAGTGTTGGAGTAGTGCAAATTTGAAAGAAAGCCTACAATTGATAAGCTCTTCAAGGACCTTGAAGAAGCAATTTCTTCTAATTGGTTTAGAAGAGGAAACACTGTTGTTAAACAATTATGAAAAACACTCACTCCATCTTAAATAATATTCATATTTTGTTATGCAACAAATAGAGCTTCTTATGTCGTCCCCCGATGTCAATGAGCTTTAAGTATCAAAGCGTGATGTCATTTAATCTTTCTATGAGTTAGCTGCAACCAAGGAAGGTTCTTCCATTCCCCTCAAAATTACTAAGAATAAGGGTTCTAGTGGATGAATTAAAGGTGTGAAGGAGGTTTCCATTGATCATAAGAAACGAGTGAAAAGATTGTGTAGAACTTGATAGTATAATTTGTCCAAACATTAAAGGATGACCTCAGACATTGTATTGTTTAATTTCTCAGTTTACTTTTTTATTAATATATTTGTTCAGTTATAACAGTATCTCGCCTTTCCTATAATATTATTCACTTTACGTGATTTGACAGCATTTTAAAATACAATTGCATTCCTTTAAACTAGCTCTGTTATAGTTAAAAGTGTTAATATTTTTGTTTATTTGTCCCTTAATTGATGCTGCTGGTTAACAATGTTCACCATTACATTCTTAGTTATACAATTGCATTTTTTGCTCACTAAACATTTCATTCAAACTTGTACTTCTCATACCTCCGACACCTTAGTTATTTTCCCTTTTTATTGAATAAACAATTATATCTTGTGTATATTTAGTCTTGTGTGAGTGTTGAGCTCTCAGCCAGAACCATCACATTATACCAATGCATATGACTTAAGAAATAAATATAAACCAATTCCAACCCATAAATTGCATCAAGTGTCACAAACTGATAGCAAGACACTCTCACTAGAACTAATATATCAAGTGAAATTCACATGAATTTCAATCTGTATTTGATCAATAACATATGATTAACCTAACTCAAAATGATAGCTAAAAGTAGCATAAAATGTCAAAACAAAAACTTAACAACCGCTTAATTGTGGTTTGGAATATATAAAACTAATTGTCAAAGTCATGAATATCAGCACTTCAATACAACATGAAAATAGTAAATAAAAGTAGGGCAGCTTAACATTTGTGCTACAAAATCACATCAACTTAATTAATTTATAGCATCATTTCTCATATTAAATGCTATTGTGTTCTTTCTACATTTACACTTGCTCTTTGTTGTTCTTGATTTTCAAGAAATGGTCAACATATTCGATTTAAGAAATGGAATTGAATGATTCACTTTTAGCTTCAAGATCAACCGCAATTCATTAGAGTGACATCATATTAGATCAACTTCAAGATCAAAACAAGAAATCAAAAGTTGTGCACATATACATTGGTTTGCAAGACGTCAATATTGACTTGTGTGTCACAGGTGGTTGTAAGACGTGTACTCACACGAAAATCATTGCATGCGAATATAAGCAAGAATTGTATGTGCATAACTCACATACTACGTATCAGGGGCAGGTGCATTTGCAATAGGGGTGGGCATAACCGCTCGATTTGACCGAACCGAACCGAACCAAATCGAATCAAACCAAACCGCTTAATGCGTTAGATGATGGAAGGGGTACTTAAGTTGACTGGAGAAGTGAAAGTTAAGCAGTGAAGACTGAAGAGTACCTTCAAATTTTCATTTATTTTGTTTGTGTGTGCACTGCACTCCTGATCTAACACTTCGTGATTTATATGTGGGTTGTAACGACAAAATTTGAATGTCCTTGAAGGAAAAGGAAATATTTCTGTTTGGGAACTTTTTGAGAGAAATTCCGTGTTTGATTTTGTCATTGTATCATATATGCTCTTAAAATCCTTTATTGAACGTCTATCAAATCCTTATTTCTACATTTTTCACTTTGTGGTATACTTTTTCTTAACTCTCTCTTTACATTCCGTCAAAGGGTATTAAGAAAAAGCCAAAGTACTTTTTCATTTGTCTATATAACTCCCCAATTTAAATTGGGAAGAAAAAGAAAAATATGGGAGAGGGGGAGTATTTCAACTCAAAGAAACAACCTATACCACGTTTGACGAGCACGAGTGGTCCATGTCAACCACATCCCACAGTTAAGATCCTCCCAAAGTGTGAGGTTCAAATCACCTAGTGAATTTGGGAGGACTTTTATGATGACCCTTTAGCTCCAAGATCTAGCTTGACTAGTCGCACAATCAAGTCTTCATTTCACCTCAACTGGAAGTGTGGGAAGTAGCTCCTTGTAGAGATCCTGACAATTTTTTATCAGTCAGTGAAGGTTCTCCCCAGAGTTGTGTTGGGAGTACGCTTCCTCTCACCTGAAGAGGCAATATGTGTGTTGGGAACCAAAGGCATTGTTCGAGCAATTGGAACTAACTTCTGTTGAAAGCCTTTGAGATGAATTCTTGAGAGTCCTGGTTAATCCAATAAATTCAGGATCAACAATAAAACAAGTTAACAAACTAACTGAGGCTGAGCATACGGTCATTTGCCTCTACAAATGTTAACTGTTGCCTCCTAATTAAGCTTCGTTGGCCTTCTTTGTCTCGTCTGAACATAGTTTTTCATGTCGGCCGGTTCAGAAGAAAATTTGATTATGATAATCGGTGCTACTCAATCATCTGCAATTCATTTATCATCCCCTACGGATGGATCTGCAATTCACAGATTACAGATTCCACAACAAGAAAAGACGGATCAAATCCAAATGCAATAAATCTACTGTATATTTTGCAATTCAGCCCAATTTTGTCTCATTTGAAGAACAAGAATGAGGTAAGATTCTCAAAACGGAGAAAGCGAAACGCGAACATTCCTTCCAAAACACCCACGCAAGCTCCGGCAACCACATCGAGAACAAAATGGCGGCCAAGTAGAACCCTAGAACCGGATGTGATGATTGCCCACGATCCGAGAACGTAAATGAGATGGCCTGAATACTCGCGATCCTCTAGCAGTCTTGGTATAAGATCGGATGATAGGTAGAACATGGTGGCGATGAAGAAAACTCTGGAGGAATGTCCGCTGGGGAATGACCAGTGGTCGACAGCGAAGGACAGGGACATGTTCTTATTGTAAACAGGTCGGGGTCGTTGGATGATGTGCTTGATGAGCCCGATCAGAGCCAGATCTAGGAGGGCTGCAAGGAGGAGGTTGATGAGAAACACGCCGGCGGCAGAGGTCGTGAGCAGCAAAGATATAATGACAGGGAAGAACAGGCGACCGTCTCCCGAGATTTCTAATGCCTTGAGAAGGTAGTAAGGGATGATGGGGCGAGCTATGTTGTAGAGACGCAAGGAAAGTTCGGAGTCAATGTCAACCAGACGACGGAGCAGCGATGGCGATGGCGACGGTTGAGATCCCATTATCTCTCTTCCGTGACCGCGGAGAAATGATATATGGAGAAGCTGCCGTTCAATTGAGCGATGGTGCTTTAGATGAGCCTACCAGAAAACATTTTTGAATTAATAAGATGGGGTTATGGATGTTTTTTACTTTTGACTCTCCCAGATCAGATCAGACTTAAACAGAGCAGATCAGATCAGAATCATCAGACTTAAATAGATCAAACCAAATCAGATTTAAACAGACCAGATTAGACTTGACTTTTGTAGTTATAAATTACATAGAGACCAGACGTTTAACAGACCAGTTTAGACGAGACTTAAACAGACCAGACCAGACCAGACCAGAAAATTACAGTCCAAGTAAAAAGATCATATGTCAAAAATATTATCTCATCCGCCCACTAAGATTGTTCCATTTTTCTTTTCTGGTACGTCTCATTTATTCTTACTTTATCAATTCAAAATCAACAATATAAATCCATTATTCTTAATAACTGTGTCACCTCATTATGTCTCAATGTTAGCGAAACGGAGGTAGTATTAAGAAATGAGGTATGGACAAAAAAGTTACCTTTTTCGGTTTCAAAAAAATGAGATTTAAAATAGGTTAACAGACTGTTATACCCTTACTAATATAATACTTCGTACTCTGTATCACTCACCGGTGCTACAGTAACAACACAGTGACTAAAACTCAGGGACCAATAATCCGTCAGTGGCCAAAAATCTGCCAGTGACCTAGTGGTCACCACTGAACACAATGACCACTACCAGGGGCGAATCTCGCAAATTATACCGTGGGATCGGCCCACCTTGCGCATGGTGTGCCGATCCCAAACGGTGTAGGTTTATTAATTAAAAAGAAAACCAACCCTGCCCCTCCCCCCTAGCCCCATCCACGTTCCCACTAGCCACTCCCCTGCCTGGCCTACCACCGCCAGAACCTCCTCGGCCCCTCCGTTGACGACCACCGGTGACTACCCCAAATCCAACCACAAATACTGCCCTAACTACTTCCCAACCCTTCCTTGAACTCCAGGTCAGGCATTCATCACCGGATTGTGAGAGTACTTATAGGGTTGCGGCCGCCGTCGACAAAATCGGAACCCTAGAAACTGAAATCGGCCGAACCAACCATCCTAAACAATCAAAACCGCCGCCGTACGAGCAAATCCGGAGGCTGGCAAGAAGATCTGTCATTGTCGCGCCTATCACCAATCACCATCGCACGACTTCGACTAAATCTAAGGAACCGCCGTCGAGTTTGAAAAATTGCAGGGAGAAGAAGATCGATATGTGCTCAAGTTACATTCGAAAATACTTACGGTTACATTTTTGTGTGCGCGAGTTACACCATTCATGTGCGCGAGTTACATTTAGAGTTTGTCTGTCAACTTTGCCCATCAAGTTACATCTTCCTTATACGTGATTTACATTTTGCATAATACGAGTTACACTTGAATATAATATGAGTTACACAACACAATAAGCCCATGTTATTCAAAGAAAAATCATTTTCATAAAGAATCATTTTTATAGCACTGATATAAAAAACAAGACATATACACAATTTATGTTAAATAGTTGGACAATTAGACTCCTTTTTTCCATTGAAATCAATTTTTTATTTCTTATGTTATGTATTGAACTAGTTACATTTCGACTAGACTTGAGTTACATTCATCAATCACGTTAGTTACATGTCTTTACACGTGAGTTACACCATTCTGTTACTGGAACAAGAGAAAAATAAAAAAGAAGTATTGTTCACGCGTGTACTGTTCATGCGAGAATTTTTTAATTAAAAAGCGTTGCAAAACTGCGTCATTTTGGATCAGGAGCACGGTGCTCACCGTGGGATGATCCCACGGTATAGGAACTGAGCTTTGATATTCAGCGGGGGCCCAAATTTAATTTAATAATTTATATTGCAAAAAAATGTCAACATTTAATATGATAATGTGTAGCTAAAGATGAAATTAAAGATGAAAATAAATAACATTTATAATATGATAATGTTAACAAAAATTATATTGAAGTATAAAATGACATTTATTGCCACAAAAAAATTAAAGATTAAAATAAATATTATAGAAATAAGAGTTTTTATTAGAGTCAAATGCAAAAACAAAAATCACAATTTTTCAAATGTTCTCTACATTGATTGATATCGCTTGATAATGACACCATTGTCAATTGTCAAGAAGATGTTTTTTCTACATCAACGATAAGTCTATCATTGAGTCAGTCATCACTCATCCGGTTGCTCAACCTATCCTTCACGATATTCATTGTTGAAAATACTCAACCTATCTTTGTTTCTATTAATTAGTTATTCAATTAATACTAATTAACTAAATAATTAATGAAAAAATGGGATTATTAGAAAAAGAATGGAATTATTAGTTACTCAACTAATACTAAAAACTTGTGTCAAAAAAAAACTAATACTAAAAACTAAATAGCACTAACAAATCACAAGCAAATTCATACCAGTATAAATGATGCTCACTGTTTAGGCAAGAAATCAATTATTTCTTCTAACAATCTAATATGATAAAAGGGAATCGCACAAGATAAATTTTAGCAAATGGTAAAGATAAAATGGAATTGTAGTTGTATATGAATGCTGCTTGCGATTACAAAGATAAAGATGTTCCCTCCTAATCTACAGTCATATGCCTCTATTTAAACTTCATCCTCCACGTTGTTGGATCCAACCGCCCGGCGAATTAGTTGCCATTCCTATTTTCCTGCAGATAGTGAACTGACTTCCTCTTCCCCCTGATCCAATTTATGTTGACTCTTATCCTATTAGACCACCACTTCTCTTGGGCCGAATCAAGTTGGGTTAGCTATCATTCTTTCAAAACGGGCCGGACAAGCCTTTATTTCCACAGCCCAACAATTGCCCCCAATTCAGAGAGGAGGAAGGCGTTGGATTGAAAATTCAAAATGCCAACCAACTCTTTGAATTTCTTCCATCATAACTTCGAATGGGGACGCGTAAAGCCGTCACTCCTCAGGCATTGATCAATCAATCGTCATCTTTCTCTTCCTTTAATTAATTAGTTCAAAAAGAAAATGTCTTCTCTTCTATTCAACTTCTTGCCATCTCTAGACAGTTCTTCTGCTTTCCATGGCTTCACAGACCTTTATTCCGCAACACATTCTAGATCCAAAGAACTCAAAACAGGCGAAGCTCTCGGAGTATCATGTCGAACTTATTAAATCGTCTGCCGGCTTTCCCCATGATGCAATTATTCGCTTTCCAGCAGCAAACGAGAGGATGGACTGGTTTTGTGATGGATGGGTGAACTTCTTGATGTACCCTTTCAAAATAGGCATGAAATTCCCTTTCTCACGCTTAGTCCAAGATTTTCTTGCTTTCGTCACAGTATCTTCTTCTCAAATTATGCCCCAAGTATGGAGGGTGCTCAGAGCCTTAGAGGTCTTGAGCGAAAAACACAATTTGGCCCTTGACTTCGAAGACCTTGGATTCACCTATGACCTTAGGTCTTCAGGAGCCGGTCGTTTCACCCTAGCAGTGAAAGAAGGAAGGGAGGCTCTTATCCACAAAGTAGACAAAGCTAACGACCGGGGATGGATGAACTTGTACTTTTTTTTTCAACAAAGAGTCGTTAGGCGCTGATGGGTCATTCTTGGAGGAGAACTTACATAAAGGTTAGCCTCTATCTCGAATCGCGTTTCTTGACTTGTTTTGTTGACTGCTTGCCCTTGTCCTTTTTTTTGCATTTGAATTTATAACCTCTGGCGTGTGTATTTTTGTTGGATAACTCGGATTGCTTTCTGCATGTCTGGATATTTGTATGAAATTTGTTATACTCGGCATTGTTCCTTTGTGATGCGCAGAAAGGAAGACTATTCCACTGGTTCCCGGTTCGCATTCTGAAGAGAGGAATGCTAAGATTCTTTCATTCCCCATTGAGGACCGAACTTACGTGAACCTGGTGTCCGATTCTCAAGGTATGTCGCCTCTCCATGTTGAGTCTGAATACGTGGGATTAAGGCGGTCTCGTAGGCACACCCCTACCGCACATGATTTGAATCAGAATTCGCATGTCGTTTCCGTAGAAGATTCAGGGCAAGGATCTGAAGTTTCAAAAGATGATGGTGAGGGCACAAGCGCTTTTGTCCCCTTACAAGTTGTTTTTCCAATTGTTACGAATACTCCCATGCCCCCAATCAAGGATTCAACACCTATTGCAGGTATTTTTTTCTTACATTTGAGGCTTACATTTTTCTTCATTAGTGCCGGATTGAATACACCTTTTTTTAGCTACTTCATCAAGCACTTCCCGCTCCATTCCTTCTGATCACGAGCTGTTGGCTATGGCATCGAGGAGGAAAAGGATGCCCTCTAAACTGCCTGCCAATCCACCTAAGGTTCCCAAGTATCCGACGCATGATGCTGCCACAACCTCAAGTGTTCCCACTGTGGAACATAGGATTGATGCAAGGGCACCACCACCACATGTTATGCACTTATCACTTTCTCCAGAATTCTGCAATTTGAAGGATGCTTTGGTCATGAAAGATGAGATGGCTCAGTTCCAATTGGCTTCCTCTGGTCATGCTTTTGACTGCCTGCCCCCAGCCAGTGTCATTGCTGCATCATCTGCCTATGCGTTTCAGGTGCTGACGAGTCACCATGCTTAGTGAGCTTTCTTTCCTTTCTTCTTGATTAACTTGTCTTGTTTCTCTCAGAGTATTCAGGCGAGCCTGGCTGCTGCTACTCGCGTCGCTTCACTAGAGAAAACCGTTGATGAGCTGAAGAAAAGGGAGACCTCCTTGGTATCCAAACTTGACAAGGACGCGAAGCTAATTCAAGAGCTGGAAGACAAGAGTTCTATCCAATCTGCTCAGACTTTGCAGCTTGATACCATAGTCAAATCCTTGGAGGCTTACGGTCGCAAAAAGAAACAAGAGGTGATTGACGCAGCTTGCTACTATGCTTGGAAGACTAGGGGTGAGCTGATGACATCTTTTATTAAAGGAGAGATGACACACTGGTCGGTGGAACAGGATGTGACGACATGGCACAAGCTCAGGGAAGAGATGGATCCCCCTGTAGGAGAGGACGGCTTTGAGGTGGGTCATTCTGACGACGAAGTCGAATCCTAATGTTTCTTGGATAGATGATCATGCTTCCCTGTTTTCCTAAGTTTGTTGGACTCTAAACATTTCATGTTTTTGAATTATTCTGACGCTACTCGACTTGCGTTAAGGTTTCCTGGTGGTTTATCCGGGACTTAACGCTTCGTCGCGCTACTATGGGCCTTACGCTTGGCGGTTTAGCCTAGCCCTGTCCATATCATTTTGTGAATCTATCGCTGTTTTTGCTATTGTTCGAACCATGCTTTCGCTTATGCGCGTTCTGTCGTGCATGTACGCTTGTCGCTTATGTGTGCAACATGTCATGTGTATGCTTCGTTATACTTCGTCATAGATACGCGTGTGTTTTGGCCAAAACGTATTGTCATGATTAAGTTTGGACGTTTATGTTTCATTTATGGACCTTCATTTGTGATTTTTTCATGATGAGTTCCATGTCCCCAAAGCATTGACGTATTGTCATGATTAAGTTTGGACCTTTTACCTTTTGTTCTGGCGTCCGTATCGTCTTGCGTTTATGCTTTTATCCCGTCATAATCCTGCAACGATACAGCACCGTTGGGGTCGGCTGTTGCCTTGAGGCCAACGACCCTCCGACGGTCAAGTTAGTAAATGATGAATTGTATTTGCTATATCAAAGATGATGTGAAACGTAACTAATTACCTGTGACTTTGCCAATTTTGTGTGCCTTCCTGCATCAAAGTCATTATTAGGGTTGGTCGTTGGCCTTAAGCCAACGGCCCTTCGACGGTCAAGTTAGTAACCTCGTTTTGCGATAAGAACAGATGTGCGAAAAATAAATTAAAAATGGAAAAGTTTTAAGTGTACCGCATTCCAACTTCGGGGGACTCGTTTACCATCGACTGATTCCAGGCGGTATGCCCCCTGACCAACGACGTCAATGATCTTGTAGGGCCCTTCCCAATTAGGACTAAACTTACCAGCCGCTTCATTGTCAAATACTCTCCTTAAGACCCAGTCTCCCTTCTTGAACACCTTTGCTCGGACATTTTTGTTATAGCTTTTTGCAACCATCTGTTGATATGTCTGCAAGCGAATCTTGGCTCGTTCACGGATCTCGTCAATGGTATCCAAGTCATGCGTCAACTCCACATTGTTCGATTCTTCAATCATGAGCCCATATCTTGAAGAAGGTATTTCAATTTCAGCAGGAATTACCGCTTCGCAGCCATATACCAGAGAGAATGGGGTCTGTCCGGTTGCATTTTTTGGAGTTGTTCTGTCCGCCCATAGTATCAAGGGCAATTCGTCAGCCCATTTGCCTTGTGCTTTTTTGAGTCTTTTCTTTAAGTTGACAATGATGATCTTGTTGCTGGACTCAGCCTGTCCGTTGGATTGCAGATACCTGGGAGTCGACGTTTCCAACCTGATATTATATCTTTCACAGAACCGAGATTCGTTGTCGCAGACGATTTCTGACGGAATGCCAAACCTGCAAAGTATGTTTCTTTTAATAAATGAAATTACCTGGTCATCTCGTATCTGACGGAACGGCTCAGCTTCCACCCATTTTGAAAAGTAATCTGTCATTGCCAGCATGTATACTTTTTGCCCCGGTGCTTCTGGCAATTTTCCTACGATGTCCATCCCCCATTTCATAAAGGGCCATGGCGATAGGACTGTATGAAGCGACTCAAAGGGTTGACGACGAATTGGTCCGTGCATCTGACAAGGCTTGCATCTTTGAGTGAAAGTGGCTGCGTCTTCTCTCATGGTTGGCCAGTAGTATCTGAATCTAAGAGCTTTGTTAGACAGACTTCGCCCAGCCGCGTGATTGCCACATTCCCCTTCATGAAGGTTTTTCAGCACTTTGATGGTTTCTTGAGATGTCAGACATCTTTGATACGGACCTGCGACAGATCTTTTGAATAAAACGCCATCAATTAGCAGAAATTTACATACCTTAGATAGGAAAGCCTTGGCCTCTTTTTTGTCTTCCGGGAGAGTATTGTGCTTTAAATATGCTATGTACGGTTGCGTCCAATCTTCTTGTGTTGAGGTTGCAACGGTAGAGACAACCTCTGACCTGTAAATTGCTGGACTCGTCAAGTGCACATAAGGGATGTTGCGATTAATTTCTGCCCCCAGACATGATCCGACCGCGGCTAGAGCGTCAGCTTGTGTGTTTTCTTCACGTGGGACTAGCTCAAAGGTTATCTCATCAAACGACGTTATCAACTCTCGGACAATTTGCAAATAGGATGTCATCTTGGGGTCCTTTGGTGCATAAACACCATTAGTTTGATTAATTATCAATAGAGAGTCGCATTTTACCTCCAAGACTTTGATGCCCAAGTCCTTTGCCAATGTGAGTCCGACGATTAGTGCCTCGTATTCCGCTTCATTGTTTGTAGCAGTGAAATCACAGTGTACTGCTTGGAGCATGGTGTCCCCCTGTGGTGACTTCAGGACTACGCCCAGGCCTGCACCATTCTGGTTTGACGCTCCGTCAGTATGCAACGTCCATTTTTGCTTTGGCAATCCGTCAATCAGAGTGCAAGTCTCCTTTTCTGCCTCAGCTTGGAGCTTTGGACTGAAGTCCGCCACAAAATCTGCAAGTGACTGTGATTTCAGGGCTGTTCTTGGTTCAAATCTTATGTCATAAGCTCCAAGTTGAATCGACCATTTAGCCATGTGACCTATCAATTCTGGTTTCCTCATGATTGACTTCATGGGATAATTAGTTCTAACACAAATGGTATGTGATTCAAAATAAGGGCGCAATTTAATTGAAGCAATGACTAGAGCCAAAACTAATTTTTCGAGTAGGGCGTACATGGATTCGGGGCCATTTAGGGATTTACTTACATACTAGACTGGAGTTTGCTGCCCCTGTTCCTCTTTCGTTAACACTGCACTGACGGCATGTTCTGAAACGGCTAGATACAGCTGCAATTTGTCGTTGTCTTTGGGTTTTGCAAGCAACAGTAGCGACATCATGTATTCTTTTAATTGCTGAAGAGCTTGCTCGTGCTGATCTGTCCATGCGAATTTTTTGTTCTTTCTCAAATCGTCATAAAACAAATGGCACCTGTCTGACGATTTCGAAATGAAGCGATTCAGAGCCGCAACTCGTCCCGTCAACCTCTGGACATCTTTGACGGATTTTGGAGATTCAATGTCAATCATTGCTCGCATTTGCTCCGGGCTTGCCTCTATTCCTCGTTCACTGACGATATATCCCAAAAACTCTCCTGATGTCACTCTGAAAGTACATTTTGTCGGATTGATCTTCAGATTGTATTTCCTCAGTTTTCTGAAAGGTTCCGTCAGGTGATAGACATGATCTTCTTTTTTCTTTGATTTGACGATCATGTCGTCAATATAAACTTCCATAGTATCCCCCATCAGATCTTTGAACATCAAAGTGACCAGCCTCTGAAACGTCGCACCTACATTTTTTAGCCTAAAAGGCATAACAACATAACAATACGTACCTGTCTCCGTGATGAAGGCTGTTTTCTCTTGGTCATCGGGGTGGAGTTGTATTTGATGATAACCACTGAAAGCGTCCATGAAGGATAGCATTTCGTGCCCAGCCGTAGCGTCAGCTAATGCGTCAATATGTGGCATCGAAAATGAGTCTTTGGGACATGCTTTGTTTAGATCAGTGAAGTCCACACAGACTCTCCATTTGATCAGTTTGCCCTCCTTATGCCCTTTCTTTTTCTGAACAACAACAACATTAGCTAACCAATCAGGATATTTTACCTCCTTTACCTTGCCGGTCCGAAGCAGCGTATTGACTTCTTGGTTTATAATGGCATTCCTTTCTTTGGCGAAGCGCCTTCTTTTCTGTCTGACGGGTTTGTGTGATGGGCCGATGTTTAACCTGTGAGTTATGATATTATGATCAATACTTGTCATGTCGTCGCGGCTCCATGCAAACACGTCTTTGTATTCTTTGAGGAAGTTTATCAGTTCGTCTCTGAGATGTGTTGGTATGTCTTTCCCGATGCGGACGACCCTTTCTGGATATTCAGGGTCGATGGCGACTTCTTGTGTTTTGGCGTCATCTTCCACCTGAGCAGGGCCACCCTTTAATTGCTATGCAGTCTTGGAAGTAGTCTAATCTGCAGTCGGCCTTATTGTTGTTTGGTAGCAGGACTTGGCTGACTTCTGATCTCCCCTGATGCTTTGCACTCCCCATGGTGTTGGGAATTTGACTACTTGATGATAAGTTGACGGAATTGCTCTCATTTGATGCAGCCATGGAGTTCCCAAGATCATGTTGTAGGCTGGCAGGTTTTCGACCACATCGAACTTGACCTGCACATTTAAACCATGGGCATATACAGGTAAAGATATATTACCTAGAGTTCGGCTTGGCTCCCCGTTGAATCTGACTAGGCTTGACCCGGATCCCGTCACGTCCTCCTCCTTGACTCCCAGTTCTCTCAACATTTTCATGGTGGTAATATTTGCGGTGCTTCCGTTGTCTATGAGGACTCGTTTGACTTCGCAATTCGCCACTCTGAGGGAGATTACCAACTTATCGTGATGAGATTGTACCGGAACAGAAATATCGGTCTCGTCAAAGGTGATTGACGCATTTCTCCATTCTTCTTGACGTTTCTCGATCCTGTAGACCTGCAACGACTTGTCTCGGGAATAATCTCGAGCGTGTCACTTTGCTGCAGAATACGTTAACCCACATAAATCAGATCCACCATTAATAAAGTTGATTACCTTACATGGGGCAGAAGGTGAAGGGGTTCGAGACTCATTTGGTGACGCTTTATCATTCCGTCCTAGCAGCGATTTTGTGCGTTCAGACATGATTTCCGTCAGATAGCCGTTTTCAGCATATATGCCACCTCTTTTCTCAATGCGACACAGTCTTCCGTGTTGTGCCCGATGTCATTGTGGAAATCACAGCGCTTACTTAGGTCACGACGGCCTGCTGGTTTGTCATTCTTTCGAGGCCATCTGACCTTCTCTCCCAGCTTCTCCAGAGAATGAATGAGGCCCGGAGTAGCAACATTAAAGAAGTAGTCAGTGATGACTGAGGGCAGATCTGGATCGTCAAGCCAGCTTGCTATTGACGATACTGGCCTATCTTCAGTTCTGGCATAGGGTTTTCCGGTCCTGTAATCATGCTTTCTGGATGTGCCAGATTTGCGCTGCCCTCCGTCATATGCATCCTGCCGATGTCGTGTCTGTTGATCTTCCTCAAGCCTAATACAAGGCCAAACTTTTGGCCTGGACGTCCTCAAAGGTCCTGCACGGGTACTTCGTCAATTCCCGGTATAATTCTGAGTCGTCAGCTAAGCCTCTCCGAAATGCCTCAATTGCTGTCGGAATGTCGCACCGTGGAATGGAAACCTTTTCCTTGTTAAAACGGTGTAGGTAGTCTCGTAGCGATTCGCCTCGTCGTTGCATGACTCTATAAAGATCGCTAGTCTGCTTCTCAAGTACTCGACTGCTCGCGAACTGATGGTTGAACAAGTTGACCAGTTCTGCAAATGACCTGATACCCTCGTTAGGTAAGTTGACAAACCATTTGAGTGCTGGGCCTAACAGCGTTGCTCCGAAGCCTCGACACATGCATGCTTCCCTTTGATCCGGTCAGAGCGATACGGCAAGCATCCGCTGTTTGTATTGGGCGACATGCTCTACCGGATCAGACGTGTCGTCGAACATCTTCATATATGGAGCGGCAAACTTGCGGGGTACTTTGACATCTGTGATCTGTCTGCTGAAGGGCGAATCCGCATAACACGTCTGTGAGGCTCGATCCAAAGGAAGGGGTACTCCAGGCAGTCCGTTGATTTTGTCCTACATTTGCCGGAGCTGTTCCATAATCATCGATATCGGATTCACCAGACCTGGTTGAGTTAATTCCGGCGATGAAAACGTCGGTCCTGCCATTTGAGTCACTTCGGGACGGGTTGGTGACGGAATGACTATGATCTCTGGATGTCGCTCTCCGCAACTCTGACCTGCTGAAGCGACTGGTCTACGCTGTCGCTGTGCCTGAAATTCGGGTGGTAGTTCGTCAAATATATTTTGTCCCCTACTTTGCATGAGACTTGACGGATCGGGGTCACCACGAGTTCTGCTTCTGTATTGAGGGATGTATGGTTCCGTCAGGGCTGATGCGCCTGATGTCATTGGTAGACTTTGAGTGGCCGTCTGCAAACTTGTCCTCCTTGCTCTTAGACGTAAGGACTCCGGGAAGAAGCAAGTCGGAATGCTGGGGATGGGGGTCGTTTCAGGGATGAGCGGTGTGTATGGTATCACTTGAGAAATGACGGTAGGTTGTGACTCCCCGGCGGGTGAGAGGCCCAATGTGAGAGAGATGGGCTCGGTGGTGACAATGGGTGCATCCGTCGCTGCCGGAGTGGACTCCAAATCAAGCCTTGTAACTACGGGCATGAGATTGTTTCTTCGGTTACCCCTGGAATTGGATGCGATCGAAACTGCCGACTGAATTTGGGACCGGAGCAGGTCGTTTTCTCGCTGGAGATGTGCCATCCTCTCCGCCAATTCCCGACGAAATTCTGCTCGAACTGCCTCCATTTGAGCGTGGACTTCCTCTAACAAAGGGTTGTTTTCGGCCATGCTTGATGATCTTGCTCTTGCACGATGCCCCACGGTGGGCGCCAAATTGTTTAAGCAAGAAATCAATTATTTCTTCTAACAATCTAATATGATAAAAGGGAATCGCACAAGATAAATTTTAGCAAATGGTAAAGATAAAATGGAATTGTAGTTGTATATGAATGCTGCTTGCGATTACAAAGATAAAGATGTTCCCTCCTAATCTACAGTCATATGCCTCTATTTAAACTTCATCCTCCACATTGTTGGATCCAACCGCCCGGCAAATTAGTTGCCATTCCTATTTTCCTGCGGATAGTGAACTGACTTCCTCTTCCCCCTTATCCAATTTATGTTAGACTCTTATCCTATTAGACCACCACTTCTCTTGGGTCGAATCAAGTTGGGTTAGCTATCATTCTTTCAAAACGGGCCGGACAAGCCTTTATTTCCACAGCCCAACACTCACAAAATACAAATGACAAATTAGAGCTAACATATCACAAATTACATTTATAAGAAATTCATAATAAATGTTAAATAAATGCAAAGTAGCAGAATGGCTAATCGGCTAATTCGCAACTTACTAGTAAGTGCCAGGCTAATTGGCTAAACAAACTCAAAGTAGCAATCAGAAAACTTAGAAGAAGAGAAAACAGACTTACCGGCGAGGTGGCCAAGCGGGCGGCGGAGCAGGGCAAATTTGGAGTTTGGCCGTTTTGGTTTTTTGCCGATTAGTTAGTTATTCGCAGGGGGTCGTGAGTTGATTAGGGAATAGGTGAGGGTTCTCAATAGGTGATGGGTCGATGACTGCTTGCGCCCTCTGCTGATTTGGAAATTTGGGCAAGCGTCATGTTTGGGCTTCACTGCTTGGGATATGGACTTCAAGCATATGGACTTCTGGACGAAGGTATTACGGTAGTTGGGTATATTAATTTTTTTTTAATTTTTGAGGGTGGGCCTAATCTACTAAAAATATAAAGCCTCTAGGGGAGTTAGTATCACGCCCCGGATCGCATCCGAGCCACGTAGACAACCGCCGTACAACCCGATAAGAACAACAGCAGTTCATCCCTATTGAATTGTACAAAGCGTCCGATTTATTCTATTGCCAAACCGATTAGTAAACAGATACAATCCACATCAATATCATAATCAAACAAATGCGGAAATAATAATATGTTTGATATTTAGCCACACGTGGCAAACACGGGCACGCAGGCCCCTAACTGTTTTAAGGAAAACATTGTTCAAAAATCCATGAGCAGTTTATAAATTTCAAATACGAATGGAAGCACGAACCACGTCTTCCTGTTTGAATGATCACCCTAGAGAAAAGTGCAGGTAGTAGGACTGTAGCCTTAACCTGAAAATGTGAGGGCCCCCGGAGAGGTCAGTACTCCATAGAAGTACTAGTGACAAGCAGGCTATATGAAGAATAACTAATGTTTCAGACACGAGACCCAAAAATAGGGTGATACATACATACATATATATATGTATGTATATATATGTGTGTGTATATATATATATATGTATATATATATATATATATATATATATATATATAGATTGGTTATAATGAGAAGGCCTCTTATTGTAGGAAATGAGAAGTCATCATAGACGTTTATCTAAGGAAATGGGCAGATGGATTATTGTAGAGACCATGGTACAATTGAATGCACACGTGCACAGAAGATGACATGTCAAATTAAAAATAAAACATACGGATGGGGATGAAAGGGTACGATTGTACTTTTAGGAAGTACAATTTATGGGAATTCGGTCTTCCGGCTTCCACTTCCCTAGAAATCTGCTAAATATACGCACCACACCCGTCGACCTGTAATGGCAATAACTGCAGTTCCAAAATTAACTAAATTCAAATAAGGAATCTTTAAGATTTATTCTACACTTACACCTCACCCGTCGACTGAAAGTACACGAATCTGCGAAAAAAGTGCAATACAAGGAAGAATATGAGTACTCTCCAAGAGGAGCACCTTATGATGACCGGAAATGTGTCAGCCGTGCCAACCATCGAAGGTGAGTTGTTGTGGTTTCAATAAATTTGTATTTAATCTTTCATTTCTTTAAGCGTGTTTGAGAATATGAAGTGCATGTGTGTTCGCGAAAATGAAGTGCATGTGTGTTTGGAATTGTTTTGAGTTGCAGATCATATGTTGTTGTTTAAATCATTGTACAATGCATGAATTAGTAAGAAAGGTGTATGACGAGTGAATTTTTGTGTGGAGTAGAGACCTAAATGTGATAATTTCGAGTTAATGGGTTTCGGAAATAGTTGACCAACAGGAGTAAAATGTGGTGTACTTATAATGTTTATGGATTTAATATGTTTTAAATTAACATAGAAGTGCATGAAAACCTAGATGTTTAGAGAAAAATTAATAATGTGTTGTGGTTTGTGAATGTAATTAAAAATGCATGAATAAAGTGTATTTGTGCAGAACATGAAGAAAATTTGAAAATTAATCGTTCACGTGTGACAGGTGATATGCGGATTGAAAGAGTCCGGGTGACTAAGAATGCACAATATATTCATGTTAGGCTTTGTGACAAATCCAAACGAAGGAGAAGTGCAAGGTTGTTGAACACAAAAGTGAATTTGGCATTGGGTGAAAGTGCACCAGTAGACAAAGATGTTACTTCAAATGTGGATGAGGAGAATACAGATACTGATGATGACTTCGAATCGCCTCCGCGAAAAATTGTGCAGAAAGAGGGTGGAAATATGAGTAAAGGTGGAGAGGAAGTGAGCAAAAGAAAGAAAGGGAAGTTAAGGATAATGAAGGAGGGATTCAAGACATTGACTACTAGATCTTCTCCTTGCGTACTAGTAAGAGCCGTTCAAGAAATGAATGAAAAGCAAAAGGAGGTTGTAGAAAAGATAGGTTTTGGAAGCATCCTGCACTTACAAATAACAGAGCTGCCTTCCAAACTTGCATATTGGGTTGTGAATGCATTCAACCCAAAGAACTGTAAGCTTACAATTGCAGATAACACCAGCGTGCATATAAAAGAAGAGGATGTTGAATGTGTCTTGGGTTTTCCAAGGGGGAAAGAATTGATTCTGAAGAAAAATAGAAACAGGAAAAGTGAGATTTTGGATGAGTGGAGAGCAATGTTTCAGAAAAAAGAACATCAAATAACTCCTTCAGAGGTTTGTGTAGCCATGCTGAGGTGTAGTGAAGGTGGAATCTGGTTTATCAGGCACTTTATAGTACTAGTGATATCAGTCATGCTTGATAGTTGTCAGAATGGTTATGTAAAATACCAAATCCTAAGCCAATTGGAGAATGAAAGTGCAGTGAAGAACATGAATTGGTGTGAGTACACCATGTCAAGTTTGATTCAAAATAGAGTGTCCTGGGAGAAGAAGAAAGACAAGAGCTTCACAGGGCCACTGGTATTCTTGCTGGTATGTTAAATAATTAGTTAAAGTGGATGTTTAAAATTATTGGTATTCTGTATGAAAGTTGTGTAATTGATTAAATGTGCAGGTATTTTATGTTGATCGAGTTGTGTTGTATAAGAGAGCTGTTGATAGGTTGATTCCAGGAATTTGTGCATGGACAACGACATTGTTGAGGGCAAGAGAAAATGCAGAAATTAAGGCCGGAGGGTTTGGTCAAGGATACATTGATGAACAATTGAATCTGGGTATGGCAGAAAGTGCATCTCAAAAATCAAAGACTGCACAGGATAAAGAAAAAGGTGATAGACTAAGGCCGGAGACTGGGGATTGTTCAGGAGAAATAATAAGCGAAGAGGTAAGTGCACATGCATACATGATTGACAAATACAAAGTGCTTAACAAAACACAAACTTTCTATGTAATGTTTGAAATGTAATGTTTGAAATGTAATGTTTGCAGGAGTTGCTTTCCAAATTGGCTGAAAAAACAGACTCTCTGGTAACTATTACCATTGACATCATAAATCTTGTGCAGCAGGCCCCAAGTACACTGTTGCTAAATGAGAACTTCAACAAAATACTGGGAACAGCAAAAAAACTTATGAGCCTAGCTGAAAATCATTCACTTGTGCTTAATGCAACTCCAGGGTCACATGATGAGGGGGTGAATGCTGATGAAGTGTTTTGGTCGAATCCTAACAACCTCAAAGTGTTGGATGCTGCTTCAAAAGCCTTTCTAAAAAGGAAAGAATACACAAAGATGATGCACGATGTGCCTACTTTTAGTCTAGGAATGACACAAGAACAAGGTGCTGGGCAGGGATCTAACATGAATGTTGAGGCCCAAGTTCATGAGGTTGGAACAAATGTACAGGAAAAGAATACTAAAGTGCAACAGGTAACACATTTGGAAAAATTGAACATTTGATAATTTGTTTGTGTAATTTTATTATTATAAAATTTTAATTTAAATAAATGTAATGCTTAAAATGAACAACAGCTTCGTAAAGTTGAAATGGTGGCAGCCCCTACTAATGTACATGATTACGGGATTTATTGCATGTGCCACATGGAAACTTATAAAGGTGATGGATTACAGGGATGGGAGTGTGGCCTGAGGAGAGGTGATAAGAGGCAGATTGCTGGTTTGAGAGTTAAATATGTGTCAGCCATACTCTGTGCAGATGCCAATGAGTTGAAATTGCAAAATTTGATGAAAGCAAGGGAGTTTGCAAAGAACAAGAAGGAAGGAAAAAAGGTTGGAAAGATTTGAGAAGACTTTAAGTACTATGTAGAAGGTGTTAAAGTTAAACAATATTTCGTTTGTTTGGAATGACTTAAATTGTAGTGATGGTGGTTTTATGTTGAACAAACATTGTGGTGTGACATTGTGTTTTGATTACAGTTAGGTTGGTATAGTACGTTTTTTGGGTATTATAATCACTTTAATCCTATGCTAAAAGGTATTGTTATACTCGACATTTTGATTTTTGTCGTACACGCGTAATACAATAACAAATAAATGAAAATGCAAGAACCTTCACTTTTCCGTCATTACAAATGTTTTGAATACAATTAAGTTAAGATTGTAAATTTTAAATTTGATTGAGAGATTTACAAGGTAGATGAGCATGGTTTCATAAACTTAGTGTAGCTATTTGTATTATAATTTGTGTCATTTCATGCAACAAGTAGCTGTTATACTGCACATATTTTTTTTACTTGTGCACTTGGAAAACCAAAACAAATAAATGAGAAATGACACAAAATTTTGACTTTTCTGTAATTAGAAAAGGTTTAATATTTGAGTGAGACGTTTACAAGTTGTAGATTAGCATGTTGTAATGTGTGTAAAAAACTAATGTCAAAACATGAATCACCACTTCACACATTTATAAGAACATAAAAAACTGAACAATATAAAAAAATTAACAACTGGATCTAAAATTTATTTAATCTTGTTTATTTAAAGGACAATTTCTACTATCATGGTTACACATTTCATTGCATGACCTACACAACCTTTTTGGTCGTTTTCTTTCTTCCATTGACAACTCCTTTGCCCCCTTGATTCTCTTGCCGGATCCCTTATTCTTTGCTTGTTGAGGTGGTAATACTTTAACAACAGAAGGTGCATCCGATCCGTAAAAAGATGCAATCATGTCATCATTTGTTGTAGGACTGGAATCACCTTGATCAGCTAATAAAAGTAGTTCCTTTTGTTGTTTAAGGAAATCTGCAAAACTCTTTATTCTTTCTGTGTGTTTTTCTGCCAAAGCAACACAGGTGTGAAAATCAGCCCACACTTCTTTCAATACATTACTAGTTTCTTGAGACCCATTAGATGCATCCACAACCATGTCGGCAATATTGAATACTGGATGTAAGAACTCCTTTTGACTCCACCGATTACAAACATAATGCTCAGGTATACGGTCCAATTTCAGGTCTTTCAAAACGACAAACATGTGTCTACAAACTAACCCAAGCCGCAAGAAATGTTTGCAAGTACAATTAACTTCGACATCATTTGCATTTAGTTGCACGGTAAATGTCATGTCACGATCATCAATGATAACATACTCCAATAAACCACTTTTTTCATGGATGCTTATGACACGACACCCAAAACAAGCTGAAGCAATTTCAGTTTGTACATCAAAAAAAATTGATAGGGAGTATACCTCTGAAGCGTGTTTTTCAATGGGTAATGGAGTCTTGAAAACAGGGATGTAACATTGTGAATCAGAATCCAGTTTGTCTTGATTATGACGTTGGGTGTCCATTTCACTTTCAAATTGCATATAAAATTCAATGAGACTAAAGTGTGGGTTTGAGAATTCTCGGAAAAAACTATTCTCACTTTCAGACCATGAAGTAGTCCGGAGTAAACCGGCCATGAAAATATCTCTAAAATAGGAAGGAATCCAGAATTGGCGTAGCTCAAATAGTTGAGAAAACCATTCATGATTCATGAGATCAAAATCTTCCATTACGGATTGCCATTTCTCCTCAAATGCTACTGGTTCAAGATAGTGACTTCACACAACACCGTTAAGTCTTGACATGAAATCAACATTCTTACTAAGAATAGGGCCAACCTTCTTTGTCACTTTTTCCATTATGTGCCACATGCAATAGCGATGTCGAGATTCAAGAAGTACCTTCTCAATAGCTATACGCATAGACGGGTCTTGATCAGTTATAACGCAAGCCGGTTGACAACCCATAGCCGTGATAAAACGAGTCAAAAGCCAAATGTATGACTCTACATTCTCTTTTAATAATAGACCAGCCGCAAAAGTAATGCATTTCTTATGGTTGTCTACTCCTGTGAATGACACGAAGACCAAATTGTACCTGTCACATAATGTAATATGCGTTGTTCATATATAAATGTGCATGAGTATAGTCATAATGTGCATTGTAGCTGATATACCTGTTAGTGCCATATGTGGCATCAAATGACACAACATCACCAAAATAAGAATAATTCTTCCTACATGTTGGATTTGCCCAGAAAATTCTAGTCAATTGATCGCTTTCATCAACATCATAGTCGAAGAAAAAAGAACTACACACTTCGACCTTGCGAAATAATTTATCAATCAACATTTGTGCGTCGACACCTTCAACATAGGCCTTTAGATCCCTTTTAAAGTTTTTAAAATCGACTGCTGTTGCACCAATATGACAATATCCGCCCACAGAATCTTTAAACAACCGGTATGACTTTTTCGGGCCTATATTTGCTTTCGCACAATTCATAACAAATTTCTTGTGTCCAAAATCAAGACTACGGTTCACCTACGATGGGTATGACGTTCTTCAAACTTGAAGATTGAAAAACAACCAGAACCACTATATTTAAAAACAATGCATGCTCTACAACCGTTTCTTGTAGACACTCGGTTTCTTATCTTTGGACTACTGTCATGTGATTGTTTCTTTGAAGCCTCACCACAAGAAGGTTCTTCCATGCATTCATTATATTCAGGATCAATGCCCACATTGTTCTTTGCATTTGACATGTTTTGCTCCTTCGGCAAAGTAGCTTGATTAGAAGTATTGTTCTCTAGCTTAAATCCTTGACGGTTACACACAACGTACTTGAGCACTAAAAAGCCTCTTCTGTCTCTATTGGATGAGGAGTATCGAATACTAAATCCGCATAATGATGCATATTGTTTGTAGAATTTAAATCCATCTTCCAACGATTTGAATATCATACCAACTTTGGGTTTAATTTCATCGGTGCACTCAGGAATCCAATATTTACTCAATCCAGGAGATACTTGACAAAATCTTGATTCACCTACAAATTTATTAAGTTACAAAAAATAACATATACATAAGTGCATATTCTTTTTTGTTTTCGAGCAACATAAAAAAACGAGATATGTACCAGAATCCATGTCTCTAGCATAGAACAGAGAATGACGCAGAGAATGCTTTACGAGAATGTTGGAAATGAAAAGGGTTGAAAAGCATGCTGAATTAGTGGAGAAGAAAATGGGGTTTCCTTATACGTAATTAAAATAATCATTAAATTAATGTAGTGGAACACGTATGAACCATTCCCTAAATAACTGCATGCAGTAGAATACTAATATACCCTTTCTAATACGTCAGATTTCATTCTAAATATACAAGAGATCCTAACTTGATCAACGGGTGTAATTACTTCTCATTTCCTACAATAAGAGGCCTTCTCATTAGAACCCTATATATATATATATATATATATATATATATATATATATATATATATATATATATATATATATATATATATATATATGTGTGTGTGTGTGTGTGTGTGTGTGTGTGTGTGTGTGTGTGTGTGTGTGTGTGTGTGTGTGTGAGACTCATCCACCCGATGATACATATTGTATATATATTTGTAAAATACTCAACCCGTAGGTCATTTCATTTAAAGAGTCTTTTAGAGATAAAGTTCTTACTTGACTTTTCTCACTCCTTTACCGGATGCCTAGCTCACAAGCTATAGTCTACCTTCGATTCATACTAGCAATTGTTTTAGGATCATTTACCGTCCAAGGTACTCAACCCAACCTGGAGTATTTAGGATCATTTACCGTCCAAGGGTACTCGGCCCCACCTGGATTATTCTGGATCATTTACCGTCCAAGGGTACTCGACCCCACCTGGAGTATTCTGGATCATTTACCGTCCAAGGGTACTCGACCCCACCTGGAGTATTCTGGATCATTTACCGTCCAAGGGTACTCGATCCCCAGTCTATCCTCTACCAAATCCTAACCTGGATATGGCTAACCTTTCATAGCTTTAACTATGGACAATGTCTAACCCTATAGTCATATAACAATCCTTAGGAACCAACGTGGGCGGGTCTCACCTGAACGGCCCACGTTAACCTACTCAAAACTGCCCGTTTTGAGCATAAACCAATACTCGATCGAGTACTCACCTATACTCGGTCAAGTACAGGAGACAGTAGCCCACAAGGCTAATTTTCAATGTATACTCGATCGAGTATCTACCCATACTCGATCGGGTATAGGAGGCAGTAGCCCCATGGGGCAATTCTTCAACAAATACTCGGTCGGGTACTTGTCAATACCCGGTCGGGTATGGCAGTTGACTTGGCGGTCAACGCTCGTTTGACCACCCAAACGGAGTCCGATTAACGTGAAATTTTACCCACGTGTACTTCTTGACGTCCTCAATCCAAAAATACCATTTTGAATCCCTGGAACATCGCACATAATAATTTATCACATTTTTAATCATCAAACGTAAATAAGATGCTTTTCAACTATGTTTTATATCTAATGATGGCATAAGCAAATACTTGTGATGAAGTATATGGCCCAGGAACCCCCGGCCCATAGACTCCTACTATTCTAATGGAGGCCCAATAGGCCCAGAAAGCACAGCAGGCCCAAATCACGGCGCCCCAAGTACTAAGCAACCCACATGGCACATTAGCGGTGCCCTCGGCCCCCTGGCCGAAGGCTCCAAACCTCACAGGATGGCCAAATCAAGAAAACAAAGTTACTGGGAGAAAACGGCAAAAATCAGTAGCCCTCGGCACCTAAGAGCCCTCAGCACTAAGCAGATCCCCGGTACTCAAAGCCCTCGGCTAATCACCTGCAGCCGAGGGCACCTTTCCCGACATAATATCCGCTCCACATGCGCCTGGATCACCGTACCAAGTACGACGTCACATCCAACAGCCGCATTAAATACGGCCACATGCGATTGTCAGCGCATACCAGTTGAGGTGACCCCTCGGCCAATGGATGCTTGACACGTGTGCCTATCTGGCATTTATTACTACTATAAATAGCACCCCATTTCCCCATTTGTAACCCAGAAGCAAAATACGCTGATCACACATCTAATATATTCTCTCTCGTACTTACTTGCTCTGACTTCTCTCTAGTTATTCTCCGCAATAACCCCTCGGATAAGCTACCCCCCGGGTACACTA